TCAGCTCAAATCTATATTGCAAAGGCATGGGATACCACAAATTGTCAGTATCAGATAATGGTCCACAATACTCTTCTATAGTTCTTTTCATGAGTTTGCTAAACAGTATTGTTTTCAACACATTACTAGTAGCCCTAGATACCCTCAAGCAAATGGAGAAGCTGAAAGAGCAGTCCAGACAGTAAAGAGGCTTCTACTCAAATCAGAAGACCCTTATTTAGCTCTTTTGTCATACAGGGCTACTCCACTAAAGTTGGGATTTAGTCCAGCAGAACTACTAATGGAAGAAACCTTAGGACCACACTTCCAACCACAAACAAACAACTGTAGCCACACATACCTAATCAAAGGTCAGTAAGGTTCAAGGATAGTAATCTAAAAGCTTCTCAAAAGAGACATTATGATATAAGACACAGAGCAAGGGAACAACAACCCCTCACTACAGGAGGCAGGGAAATGTTCAAAGGGAACAGTCTACTTGATCTTATACTGTGGAAACCTCTGCAGGGATTGTCAGATGAAATAGAAGAGATTTGAATATTCTCCCGTCTTCAGTACCAGCTCAAGAGGAAATTGATCTACCTGACGTTGATACTCAACAAGAGGATCACTCGACGAATACCTCTGAGACTCGAGACAAACCAAGAAGAAGTTCTCGTCACACTCGTCTCCCAGATAGATATGGAGTCTGGTTGAATGGATAAAGACCATTAACAGACTGAGGGGAGATGTGAGATAATAATTTTGTATAGTTATTGTTATTATTAGTTATTGTTTTGATAGTTATGTGATGTTAATATCCTGTGTGGTTTCTTATTATTTCCTGTATGCATGTTTATAAGTACCGTATTTGCCTGATTAGTGATTAGAAGCCCGGGCGTCTATTCATTAACATAGATATAATACACAGGTTCTTGCTGTCATCCTGTTCTATTCTCCCGATGTTCTCTTTCTCTCTTCCTGCTCATTTATCCTATTGTATTGCGTTGAGTTTATTGATACTTATTACCGGTATAAACGTTACAGTAGGCACTGCACCAGATCGTCTCCCTGATACACCAGCAGAGGGTCTTGATCCAATGCCTGTTACTCCTGAAGTTATAAGCATTGCTCAAAAGATGAAGAAAAATGCTGAAAAGAAACTCAAGACTAGCTTCACTACCTACACTCCTTTGTATTATATAAAGAAAGGAGAGAGTTATTATTGTATAAGAGTAAGTTACATCATGCATTTACCATAGAATGATTAATTTTGTATAATTGATGTACGTACTGAGAGAATCAGCTATAATTTTGAGTGTCTTTTGAAAGAGGTTCTATTGCATATGCTATTTTGTTAGGTTCTGGTTGATGATGGTATAATAGATGTCTTTGGTAAGTATTGCTGTGCCGGTTATGTCAGTGGAGTTAAAGCAAAGCATGTTAATTTGACATTCTTCTAACTTTACAAGTGAATCTGCTCAGTTTGTTGTAGCTGTTTTTAATTATTATGTTAATTATTTTTGTATTACCATGCAGTATAAATCTGCTTTATTTTATTTTTAATATTAATTTTTTATGAACGTACTAAATTTTTTTAGACACTATTTTTAATAGAACTATAGTATACAATGTATGTATGACTATCAAGTAACTTATAACTTTAATCACTAGTCTTTTTTATGTGGATAAAGTTATTTTTCTTTTTCATAACAAATTTTTAGATCTTTGAGAAAATGATCAGTTAAAATTATAGGATGGATGATTTGATGAACACATTTTGAAGTTGATGCAAAATTGACGAAAATTAATTTTGCTCTCATTTGCGTTTAGTATTGTGGCAAGTATAAATCAGACTTGAGAGATATAGGAAGTGTTCAGTGATACAACTATATGTGATAAAACTACAATATCACATTATTATAATTAAGTATAGTGTTTATTATTCATTGTTTTATGATATCTTTGCTTTATAAAGAAACCATTTCAGGATGCTGTTCCATAAATCTACAACTAACGACAATAATATTATCTTAATTTACACCAATAGTGCTAACTTCTTCAATATATCTTGCTTCTTTTGTTCATCAGACGTGGGGAGACCTCTCTGAAGGGGAAGAGAGAGAGAGAGGGAGGAAGAAGAGGGGACATAGAAAATAAAAGGAGGAAGGGAGATGGTGATAAGTATAGTACAGTGAAATGTTAAGTTTCCAATGATACTAGTATACAAACCTCTTTCTGTCTCTATTCATACATCATCTTCTCAACCATATCTCTTGTCTCTGAATCAAGATCAGATAACTAACAACATACCATCATAAAGTTTATGAGTTGATCATGCATGTAGATCAATAGCTGGAAACAACTGTGGGTGCATTTTTGTGACCATTTAAATCTGAGGCAAAGCTTGTTCAATGATCAATATTCACAATATACACATTTAATGATGCTGATACATATTCATGACTTAGTTTGAAATGAAATTTTACAATTCAATTTTATAACATTTCCTCATACTTGGTTATTAGTATTTCCTTGTACTTTATAAGGTCATACACCTAAACTTTGATTAAATTACAGCATCAATAGGTTTTCAGGGACAACTGTTGACTACTACAGCAAGCTCTACTTAAACATTCTTATGATGCTTGTACATGTACATCAACTTAAAATTTTTTTTAGATATTAAATTTCAACATCAGCTCAAACTTTGATATAAAGAGATGTATATGCATAAAAAATAAGAAAATTCTCTCCTAGTCATTTTTGGCAAAATTTGGCCAATGATCCTGTATACAGGAACTTTGACCTGACTTTGAAGCAACTCTACAAATTTGTAAAAAATTCAATTTTGATCAAAATCAACTCAAACTTTCTATGCAACATAAAAACATGTATATGCATAGGAAAAATAATAAAATTTAAGAATTCTCTCCTTTTCATTTTTGGCGAAATTTGGCCAATGACCCTGTACTATGATAGCACAGGTTCTTTGGTCCAATTTTGGTGCCAACTTTAAAAATTTGTAAAAAATACAATTTTTATCAGAATCAGCTCAAACATTCTACACAAAATACATATTTACATTTAGGTATATATTTGTTCAGTGGCTCATTCCAATATCTCACCTCCTTTCTTTCCCTTGAAAATGCCACCTCACTCCTTAGCAATTAACAGACTCAGCGTAACAATTAATGTATAAAGTTACAGCTACTTTTAAAGCAATTCTTAAATCAAAAACAACTCTGGCAGACCCCTAATAATAATAATAATAATAATAAATATTAATTAATTAATTATACTTTACGTGAGCTGATAACATTTCATAATAAGGAGAGTCTAAAATAACCTGACATGCTGACTCAGCATCTCCCTATTATTCTATTAATTAATAATACATTAATAAACATGTATTATATACATTACTTACATTAAATACATGAAAGTCTTTTAAAGCCACAAGCTCCTACGAGAGAGAAAATAAAGGGAGATGAGAACAAACAGTACAAATATACAACTAACTGATGATAATTTACCATCACTTCTTTAATAGACTTATCAACCTGGTTAATAAATAAGTAAATAATAAGTATGAAAAAGAAATTAAGAACCTTACATGCATCAAGTACTCGATCAAGTACCAAACCCGCCATATTGGGGGTTAAATATGACTCGGCTCCTGCGAGCCCCACCCTAAGACTATGGAATGCAATTGAACTTAGCAGTTATTGCTCAAAGTTCAACCAAAGAATACTGTTTATAGTTAGAGTTATACTAGCATGGGGACAGCAAGCAGTAAAGCCGCTATTGTCGCTACACCGCCGGAGGGCCTTGTTCCAATGCCTGTTACTACTGAAGTTATAAGCATTGCTGAAAAGATGAAGAAAGATGCTGAAAAGAAGCTTAAGATCAAGCCAAGCTACACTACCTTTACTCCTTTGTCCTATATAAAGCAAGGAGAAACTGACTACTGCATAAGAGTAAGCCTTAATCATAGATTAAGGCTTAGTCAGGTGGAGCCTGACTATAGATGATGCATTAGTCAGGTGGAGCAGAGTAAGCCTTAATCATAGATTAAGGCTTAGTCAGGTGGAGCCTGACTATAGATGATGCATTAGTCAGGTGGAGCCTGACAGGTGGAGCCTGACTAATCATGCATTAGTCAGGTGGAGCCTGACTATAGATGATGCCACTTAGGTATTAGTACAATGCAGCAACTCAATTTAATTTAAAAACTGTATATATGTAGATCTATTGCCGGAAGCTTGTCATTTATATAATTTGTTAGGTTGAGGTGAATAATAGTGAAATGATTGATGTCTCTGGTCAATATTGTGCTGGTTCTGTCAGAAGAGTTAAAGCAAAGCATGTTACTGAAGATGATGATCAGACATTCTTCTAACTTTACATTTAGTATTTTTATCATTTAAACATGTTGAAACTTTTAAGATGATATTGACACAAAAATTGTTCATAAAAGCCAGACTACACATGCTACTTGTATTTAGCAATGATTAACTCATTTAGAGGCTATAGAGAAGGAATGAGAGAGATTTAAGGAGCCTTTAGTGATACGAGATAAATATCACATGACATTACTACAATTATAATCAAGTACACATAAAGTAGTATTTATTATTAATTGTTTTATGATATCTTTGCTTTAGAGAAATCCATTTCGGATGCTGTTCCATAAATCTAAAATTAACAACAATTTTTATTTACACCAATAATGCTAACTTCTTCAATATATCTTGCTTCTTTTGTTCATCAGACGTGGGAAGACCTCTCTGAAGGGGAAAGGAGAGGAAGAATGAGGAGGAGACATAGAAGATAAAGGAGGATATTATTGTTAATAGGTAGCATCTTCAGCTACCTATTAACAATAGTATCATTAATATCATGTACATGTGTTTATAGGTGAAGTAGTGTGGTTGACCAAAGTTTGTGTCATTATCCTGATTTTTGTGCAACTTTACAAATTCGTAAAAAAATCCTATTTTGATTGGAATCAGCTCAAACTTTCTACGCAACATAAGAACATGTATATGTATCAGGAAAAATTATTAAAACGGAGAATTCTCTTCTTTTCATTTTCGGCAAAATTTGGCCAATGACCCTGTACTATAGTACAGGGACTTTGGCCTGATTTTTAAACAATTTAGAAAATTTGTAAAAATCCTATTTCGATTAGAATCAGCTTAAATTTTCTACACAGCATAAAAACATGTTTTGCAATGTAGCATCAGAATTAATTATAAAAATGAAGATTTCTCACTGACACATTTTTACAAAATTTGGCTATACTGTATGCAAATACATGTACATGGTTACGTTGTGTACATGCACAATATTAATAATAAATGCACTCACTTTATGATTATTATCAACAGGAGGTGGAGGAGGTCGAAAGTCTTTAAAAGTCTTTTAAATTTTTTTATGAGAGGTCTTTTAAAGCTACCAGCTCCTACGAGAGAGAAAATGAAAGAAAGGATAGGAGGAGAGAGATGAGAACAATAAAGTATAAATATACTACTAACTGATAATAGTTCACCATCACATCCTTTAATAGACCTATCAATCTAACAAATATAAAAATGAAAAAGAAATTAAGAACATTGCTGTGGTATGCTTTTTTTTAGCATACAACTGTTGTAGACTGAAATACACCTAGACAGCTGGCAAGATTGTTGTAAATGTTGCAACAATATTGCCTATGATTTAATTCACAGTTTATTTGAGATCACACATACAGTGCAATTTAAAATATTCATTTATTGCAAATGCAGGGCCAAGCAAATTTTATTGATTGATTTCAGTTATATAAAATAGCCTACGCCCTTCTAGGCTTGAAGCCTTCTACTTCCTTTATTCACTTTCCATCTAAAGAAGGGTGTCTATGGGACAACAACGAAGTACCCCTAGGCCAGCAGAGGGTCTTGATCCAATGCTTGTTACTCCTGAAGTTACAAGGATTGCTGAAAAGATGAAGAAAGATGCTGAATGGAAGCTTGAGATAAAGCAAGGCTACACTACCTATGCTCCTTTGTCCTATATAAAGAAAGGAAAAACTGACTATTGTATAAGAGTAAGTTCAATCATTAATATTGCATAGATAGCAAGGTTTTATCTACTGGGGGGAAGGTTCTACCCCAAACCGGCTCTGCCAGCACATCTTCTCCCCAATAAATTTTAAATAAAAAATAATTTAAGGTGCCGGCTATGAGATAATATGAAAATATGCACTGAATTTGACCCGGCAGTTATCAGACTAAACTTTCAACTAATAACCACTACCATGATATATCTATATACGATATTACTAAATTAAAGTTTAATTTCCCCCCTATATAGTCTTGTGTCACCACACATAGTGAGACTTATTCCCCCCAAATAAAAATTTCTAGATAAAACCCTGGCTATATAGTACAGTCCTTTATCATGGGGCAACATGTCTCATATACTATAAGCAGTTGCATTGTCAGTCACTCAATTATTGACATTCACTCAATTTTTAAATGTAATTGAGACTCAAAGGGAGTCAGAGTCAGCTCCATCATTATCACTATAATTTTTGTTAGGTTAAGGTTGATGACGATCAGTTAATAGATGTCTGTGGTCAATATTTATATACTGGTTCTGTCATGAGAGTGAAAGCAAAGCATGTTACTCATTATGATGATCAGATATTCTTCTAACTTGAATCTGCCCATGCAGTTTATGTATAACAATAGCTATATCCATGGTTTTTTTATTTTTAGTATTTTTATCAATATTTTCAAGAAATGCTATATATGAACACAAAAAAATATATTTATGATATAACACTTAAAAAATAATAATAAATTGATAATATCATTTAGTGCTAACTTCTTCAAAATAATTATTTTGCTTTTGTTCATCAGACGTGAGGAGACCTCTCTGAAGGGGAAAGGAGTGAGAGAGAGAGGAGGAGGAGGAGACATAAATGATAAAAGGAGGAAGAGGAGATGGTGATAAGTATAGTACAGTGAAATGTTACCAATGACACTAGTACAAACCTCTTTCTGTCTCTGATCATACATCATCTTCTCAACCATACTTCTTGTCTCTGAATCAAGATCAGATAACTAACAACATACAACATATCATCATAAAGTTTATGAGTTGATCAGTACTAGTAGATCAATAGCTGAAAACAATTGTGGGTGTATTTTTGTGACTATTGAATATGAGGCAAAGCTTGTTCAAAAATCAATATCACCAATATACACATCAGACCTGGGGTCAATTACAATTGTAATTGTAATTGAAGGGTCAATTACAATTACAATTACGTAATTGTAATTGTAATTGAACTTCAGCTTATGTAATTGAAGTTTCAAATATATTTGAGTTACCTAACTACAGAATGTACAGATGCACAAAGAAATGTTCTTTATGTACTTTGGTATCTTTGGGTGTTTTCGATACTGTAAAGTACCAAAATAACTTATGTTGTTACAATACATGTACATCAAATTGTAATTGTAATTGAAAATTTAATTGAAATTACACTATCATGGTGTAATTGTAATTGTAATTGAGTCTATTTTTATAAAAGAAGTGTAATTGAATGTGTAATTGTAATTGAACTTTTGTAATTGACCCCAGGTCTGATACACATCATACTGATGCTTATACATATTCATGACTTCGTTTGAAATGACATTTTACAATTCCATTTTATAACATTTCCTCATACTTGGTTAATAGTATTCCTTGTACTTTTATTGCTAATTGAATGAAGCAATGACTTGTTTACTTAAGGTCATACACCTACCTTTGATTATCATTTAATTAAAGCATCAGGGACTACTATAACTATATTGAATACTTACAGCAACTTTTACTTATGCATCCTTATAATGCTCGCCCATCAACTTAAAGTTTTTGTTAGATATTAGATATCAACATCAGCTCAAATTTTGATATAAGTAGATGTATATGCATAAAAAATAAGAGAATTCTCTCCTAGTCATTTTTGGCAAAATTTAGCTAATGACCCTGTACAATAGTACAGGGACTGTGATCTGATTTTATAGGAACTTAAAAAAATTTTTTTTTAATCCTATTTTGATCAGAATCAGCTCAAACTTCTACACAACATAAGTATATGTATATCATCAGAAAAAATTATAAAATGGAGAATTCTCTCCTTTTCATACAGGATAAGCCACATTTAACTGATCTATTCATACAGAATTTTTTGTAGGGGACACAACCAAAACGATATTGCGCTAATCAAGCGAAAGTTGGTTTTGCCAGTGCAGGCATAAACTATTACCGTATAGCTCCAAATTTTCACCAGCCAAAATTTTTGTCAAATTTGTCAGGTACTTTTGCTTGAAGAAATTTTTAACCGGCAAAATTTTTGTTCCACGTGGGTAGTATGTGGATTAATAACAAAAATGACGAAAATTTTATTGACGAAAATTAATTTTAGCAAAAAATTAAGATTTTGATGAAATTTTGACTGACAAAAATTTGGAGCTATACGGTATACACATGATTATTATATTGTACACATGATTATTATATTGTACACATGATTGGGGGAACTTAGAGTATTCCCACATATGACATAATATGACAGCCTGCCAGTGTGTAATGGGCCATTTCTCTCTCTTTTCTCACCTTTTCCAAATGGACACATATAATCTTCCTGTTCTCCAGAGTCCAGAAACAATCCTCAAGTTTTATCTTATTATAAAGTTCTCCGTTAATTATTGAGTCTTTCCCTTTAACGCTAATCTTCAAATGCTTAAAATATATTTATTAATTATTTTTATTTATTTATTGTGAGCCTAATTACTTTAGTTTGAAAATCAACTACAACGTCTCTGCTTTTAATTGGAATATCCAACTGAGTGGGTACTCTTATCTGAGGAGAGAGAGAAAGAGAGAGGCAAATACAATTAAATTTAATACTGTAGAGCACTCTATTTTTCATGGTTATATTCACGTTAGGCTTAATAACAATAATCATGTATAATAATGTACATAATGTACATGCATGTTTATATGATCTATAGTTCACTTGTACCTCTACATCTTGAAGTGTTTGTGTCCACTTGTAATGAGGTAGATCAGCTCCATTACCAACATTAGGCTTTATCTTCCCTTTACTGTCTTCATCATCATCATCATCAGATCCTTTGTCTTCAGTAGCATCTTCAGCTACCTATTAATAATAATATCATGAACATGTGTTTATATAAGATGTAGTGGTTGACCAAAGTTTGTGTCATTAGTGCTAACTTCTTCAAAATATTTTGCTTTTGTTCATCAGATGTGTGGAGACCTCTCTGAAGGGGAAATGAGAGAGAGAGAAGACAAAGAAGGTAAAAGTAGGAAGAGGAGATGGTGATAAGTATAGTATAATAAAATGGTCAATCTCCAATGATACTAGTACAAACCTCTTTCTAGTGAATACTTACATTCACTAGAATTTACTTAGACATTCTTAAAATGATTGTACATCAACTAATTACTATGACCTATTACCTTGTACTATTATAGACCACCCAGAGTGAGAATTGCAAAAGCTATATCACTCATTGTATATGCAATATCCACCCACACATCATAATTGGCTAGAGATGGGCAATTCCAGAATTTACAATCAATTCTGATTCCAAATACTTTTGAGACTGGAATTGATTGAATCGAATATCAATTCCAAGTATTACTGCGCATGTGCAAAGCCACATGTTATGCAAAGTTTGTTGTCTTTGTTGTTTGTCTGTCGTTCATTCGTCAGACTCCACCTACCAATTAATGTACTGGCTACAGTTAATG